CCCACAAGAGTGTCCCGTATGAGTGTCCCACAAGAGTGTCCCACAAGAGTGTCCCACAAGTGTGTCCCACAAGAGTGTCCGACAAGAGTGTCCCATAAGAGTGACCCACAAGAGTGTCCCACAAGAGCTTCCTACAAGAGTGTCCCACAAGAGTGTCCCACAAGAGTGTTCTACAGGAGTATCCCACAAGAGTGTCCTACAAGAGTGTCCCGCAAGAGTTTCCTACTAGAGTGTCCCACAAGAGTGTCCCACAAGAGTGTCCCACAAGAGTGTCCCGCAAGAGTGTCCCGTAAGAGTGTCCCTACAAGAGTGACCCACAAGAGTGTCCCACAAGAGTGTCCTACGAGAGTGCCATTTGGACATATGTAGCTTTTCGAACGCGTTTGCATTCGGGTTCGTGGGCTCCATCTTGTTTTAATCTAGACATCCAGTTGGTGTAGTTGGCCAGCATTTGCCTGGGGAGGGCAAGGGGAGAGTCGGCTCAGAGTCGACTGGCGGGGCTTTCAGTGTGGTAGACGCACACGTGTAACGGACACTGAGACGCTGGGGCTGTCGCAGCAATGCTGAGAGTAAAACAGGCAACGTCGTGGATGTGGACGCAAGCCCTTCACTATACAACTGACCTCGCTGCTTTTGCGATGCTGTTTACATTGTTTATATACCCAGGTTGCAGTAAATGTTTGCGGCTGCCAGTATCTCTCCGAGCTCAAGCAGGATGTTTGTGCGTGACAAGCAGTCATAATGACCTGCCCCGCTCCTGGAGTCTTGGAACAGCTTTAGGACTATATAATCATATACCTCAAGATAAGTCCCACGCGAGGCTTGCGGCAATCATATCACAGATGTAGAGACAGGATTTCAATAGATGTTGCGGTCTGGTGCTGCAGTGCACCCACGGCCTTGGCCTTTACGATGTTTGGTTTGGATTGTCGAAGCCTCAGATGTGGGTGCTCTGTGCATTGTTGAGCCAGATCCTGTGTTCATTTTTCCCGAAAGCACCTGAATTTTGTTCTCCCTAAAGAATGGCTGCCAACTTCAACTGTCCACCCATCATCGTCATCATCATCATCATCATCCTCATCCTCATCCTCATCATGAGATACAGTTGTGCAGATACAGGTCTTGGAATACAGGTGTGGGGATGCCGGCGTAGAGATACAGGTGTTGAGATGTAGGTGTTGAGGTGCAGGTGTGGAGATACAGGTGAAGAGAGCCTACGCAACTGCAAATCCGACATCTTTCTAATCTTCTCTCAAGGCGGGGTGGCCCGGCCAATGCTCACAAGCTCTGCGGAGCTGCGGGCAATACGCGAATCGTTTCCTGCCTTGGTGAACCCTTTGAGGAGATTGCGCGGGGTGAGTGCTCAAACGTGAGGTGAAATGCGTATTTGTTTGGCGGCGGCGAGCCCTTTGCCGAGATCGACCGTGCGTGTCGTCGAGTGCTCAAATGTCAGGTGAAGTGCGAATTTTGCTTGGCTGCAGTCTGAGCCCTTTGCGGAGATTGTGCGAGCTGAGTGCTCCGACATGAGAGCCCTCTGCGGAGATCGTGTGTGTCGAGTTGCCAATGTGTGTAGCTGTGTAGCTGTCGTCGAAAATCAAGGTGGAAGTTACCAAAGTGTGTAACTGTTGTAGGAAAGCAAGGTGGAAGTTACCAAAGTGTGTGATGGAGCCGCCCTTGCCAAATTTGTAGTGCAAATGTACTGCGGGAAGCTTTCTGGTAACTTTGTAGTGAAATTTTCTATGGGAAGCACCTTCTGGGAGCTGTGGCCTCAGAGCTGGCATTTGTAGTGCGCATGCATTGCGGGAAGCAGCTTCTGGGAGTGGCCTTGGGGCTGTGGAAACTGCAGGGGGTTGCAGGGGTCTCTTCCACTCCATGTATGGCTGCAACGACACGTTCCCATCCTAGGGCTGCCCAACTTTTCGAGCAGCTTCTGCAAGCTGTCCTTAAAGCTGCCAACGTTGTAGTGCAAACGTATGGCGGCAAGCCGCTTCTGGGAGCTGGCCTCAGAACTGGCAATTCTGTAGTGCACATGTAGTGCGGGAAGCAGCTTTTGGGACCTGTGGCCTTGAAACCGGTAGTGCGAAATTAGAGCGGCAAGGAACTTTTGGGAGTCTACCCACGTCGCTGCGGTTGCAATGCGCGTGGTGTGTTTTTGGCTGCTTCCCTTCAGATCTCGAAAACTTGCGCCTGGGTCTCGAAAGTCATCCTGCGTTGATTGCGCCTTGCTAATGTGATGGGGTGGTGATGCTTCCTTCACAGCTTCGCCATTTTGGATGGCTCAGGTCTCTCTTTCTCTGTCTCTCTCTCTCTCTCTCTCTCCCGCTCTCGCTCTCGCTCGTGCTCTGTCTATTTGTTTGCCTGCCTGCCTGTCTGCCTGTCTGCGGGACGCTTTGTGGCAGACTTGTGGTGGAATCTTTCGATACAAATGATCATGCTGCTTTCCCCACCCCATTGCCCCTCCAGCCCTTGTTCTGCTGCTTACCCCTCCTTGTGCCCCAAATGCTACAAGACAGTTCTGCCGCGAAGTCTTTCTAGAAAGTTCGATTTGAGAAGCTGTGTTGCAAACAAGCACTCAAATGATCCTCAACCCCAATCGAACTTGTTTTGTTCTGTTCTTTTCGACCCGTTGGGTTGCTGAGGTCTTGGCACTCACGGTGGGTCCAAAGCTGGCTGCTGTGGGTTTTGGCGAAGGTCTTCCTGCTAAGCCTGCCAAGCTCAAGTCGCTCAAGCCAGCCAAGTGACTTGAACGCAGTGATGTCCTTCAGAGGCGCACAATGAAACTGACGAGCGCCGAGCATGCGCAACTTGACCAAGGAAGGGAAGCAGCTACGGGCGGGGCATTGTTTCCAGAAGTGAGCAAGAGCAGCGTCGACAACGGCGTCTTGGCAAGGAGCTTTCTTTGTCAAAGTCAAAGTTATATATACCTTGATTCAGCGCTAGGTCAAACCTGCGTCGCAAAATGCAGGACCCTTCGATCAACAGAGCCAGAAAGACTCTGCTTGGCGAGACCGCGGAGCAGGTCTTTCAGATTGGAGATATGGAACTGCCTCTGTTGGTCCCTGCTTATGCTGCAACCTCAGCATGCTACCGTTGCACCGGCGCGCTCAAGAATTGCACACAGGCCAAGTACCTTCATGTTGGTGCGGACCGTGCAGAATCCTTGGGGATCCTTGGGGGGTCTTTTCAGGTTCTGGACTATCAGCGCTTTTCAATGATGGTTGAAGCTGGAGCTGGAACTGTTTCGGATATTGTTTGGCAGCTTTGATGGAACTGAACTTGAGACATCAACCTTGGACAACCATTTGTGCCAGAGCAAAGGCCGGCAGAGCAGGCTCTAGCCGAAACCCTGCTAATCAGGCGCAAATGTTTGCCTGGTTTCTTGCTTAAGCTGGAGCCGCCAAAGTCATTGGGCCTTGTACTTGTGTCATCTAAAAAGCAGAACCTGGTTGACGAAACCCAGATCAGGCGGGAATTGTGGCAAACCTATGGTCTTTGCGAGATTGGAGCTGGCTTGGGTCTAGCAGGCCCTTTGTCAAATGCATATGATGGGATTCTGCGCTCCAAAATCGTAGGCTAATGGCTGTGGTGAGTTTCGTGCGTCCACTACGGGTACCGCCTGGGGTGTTTGCTGCTGCCCCTGCGAGCGGGAAGGATGTCAAGCGTTTCAGATGTGCAGCTTATCCTGTTGCCTCAAATTGCCAAATTGTACTGTAATGGTGTGTTTTAAACACTCACTCACCTTAGAAGTTTGGAATCTAAGAAAGACAATGGTATGCCAACGGCCAATTTACTGTAAGCTTCATGGTGCTGCACTGGCAACCAGATTGGTCCAAAGCACCATGCCTGCAACGCCCACCGCGACAACAGAATGAAGAGGGTCCATGCCGCCCCTCCCACGAGATCTGATGTGAATCGAGCTGAGATGGCTGCACCTGCCACTGAGCGAGTGAAAGTGAGTGAAAGTCAAAGTGTTGTGTGAGGGTGTGCCTTTTGTGCGTGACGAGAAGAGAGAGAGAGAGAGAGTGAGTGAGTGAGTGAGTGAGTGAAGCGATTGCCAGAGTGAGTGAAGCGATTGCCAGAATGAGTGAGGGGGCGTTTGCCGGCGTGCGCGAGAGTGATGTGAGAGAGAGAGTGTGTGTGTGCATGTCACCGTGCGAGAATGAGTGGGTATTTTTCAGCCAAAACTGAGTGATCATGAGTGCGTTTGGTCGATAGTGTGATTGAATAGTCAGACTCAGTGTCAGGGTGTGCATGGATGACAGTACAGTGTACAGTACAAAGTGAGCGCGAGTGAGTGGGAGTGGATAAGGCAAGAGTGAGAGAAAGTCCGAGCAAGCGAGAGTGAGCGAGAGGAGTGTGAAGGTTACGACTGAGTGTGAATAACTTTCAACATTGCTTACTGCCAAGTGTGAACAACAAGGTTTAATGCAAGCAAGTCTCAGGCCAATTGCTCGTCCAACCTTGCAGGCCTTGTTGCAGCAAAGTCAGGTGCACCGAAGGTCCTCCTGACAGACAGAGATGCATTGGCGTCTCGGCTTGTTCTTCAAACAAATTATCAGTTGATGGGCACTGATTGGCGAGGTTTTGGACATCGCGTTCCTCGGTAGAAACACATTGTGCATTCGCTGCTGCTTCAAGCGCAGTCGGGGTTACGAACGTCCGTTTGAGGCAGAAATCAGCGGTCAAAAATGGCATGGATGACATTGTGCGCCTTGTCCAGTGCGAATGGGGCAGTCGAGTCTATTTCAAAGAGCCACACGGGCATTCGTAAAAGGTCCCCCACACCTACGCCCAGATGCATGAACATTTGCAATTTGCACCTTCAATATCCTTCAATGGGAAATAGCTCCCGCTTACCTTTGATCACTTGTGTTTGTTGGACAGAAACCTCCGAGGTCCACATCGGCCTTTGACTGGGGAGACCGAAGTAGGTGGCCCAAAGCCTTTGGAGGTCTGGTTGTTGCAGCGGACGTTCTGCAACTTGGCCAAGCCTCATTGACCTTCTTCAGGTGTTGGCGAGGTTGGACGTCACAAACCGTGCTCTAAGTGATAAGGTACGACAAGGAAGTGGTTACACCCCTGGTCGACCTTCTTGTATACCTTGATGCTCCAGCGATCTTCGTGGAGACTAGACTCAACTACACCGAACGGCAGCACTATGACTCGCTACGAACCCACAATTTGAACAGAAACTAAGGAACCAGACAATGTAGAGAGGCAAAGCCTCGGATCAGTGGATTATTTTCAGGACGGGATTGGGCTTTCCTGGAAGGAATGGCTGTGCTGTCGATTCTATCGATTGGATGATGAATGCTCACTCAACAGAATCATTGTGCAATTTGAGCAGATGCTTCAGGGTTCATCGCCTTTCCCGCCTTGCATTCTCCGGACAAGCCTTTCAATCTGTTTCGGCACAGTTCGGGCCTTCCAGCCCACCATCCTTCTGCATCGTTCCTGTGAGCCCCTGCTTTCAGTTCCATCAAAGGTCATTTCATTTGGCGCCATTGTCCTACTGAAGCTCCTTCCCCCCATGGTGCCGCACCCTTTCCCTTTGTCTTCCTGATCTCCTCTCGTTTGATACGATCTCTTGTCTCCGGATGCCTATCAGTTTGCTGATCCTCGATGCTTGGTAAACATTTCCTCATCGTTTCATGGTGCTGGCCACCGGAGGCAGGGGAGTTGTGACTAGCTTGCAATCCCAACATGTCCCATCCCGGATTAAACTCCCTTTTCCTATGGGATTGACGACTGACAAGTCTAGATTTTAAAACAAGGTTGATCGTGAAAGTAAGTTTGCTCCAGGTCTGAGCTCCAAAACTTGCCGGCAAGCTTTCCTCAAAAGACATGTCTAGCGTCATGACCGTTGGACTCAGTTGGTTGGCGGCGGCGGTGCCCAAGCCCATGCCTTTGGGTCATTTTTTGAATCCCTGTTGAACTTCCGTATGGCTGTGATGGCTGAGGCCAAAATTTTGGTTTGAAGAGAGGTAGCGTGTCCCCGGTGTCCCACGGAGTTCTAGAATGTGTTTTTTTGATTTACATTTAGATCATTTAGATCGGATTGGTTCGGGCTCTAGGCTTTTTGCTTTTGTGCTTTTGTGCTCGCTTCCTTGCTTGCTTGCTTGCTTGCTTCCTTCCTTCCTTCCTTCCTTCCTTAAAGAAGCCAAGCAAGAAAGCACATTTAGAAAGGGGCCACTGCCACCTAGCAGACCAGAGTTCTTTCATGGTTTGGGTGTTCCTTGGCGGGGAGGCGCTGCGCCCTCCCCTCAACACCCTTCCCACGTCAGACTTTAAAGGGCCCCACCCCTGCACCGCCTTTTAGTTTCGGTTTTCCTTGGACATCTTTTCCCAAGAGCAAGAAGATCCTTTAAACAGCACCCCAGCGGTCAGTCTTTTTCTTAAACCCACATTGAAAGTCCGTATGGTTGCGAGTTTCTGTCCTTGGCTTGGGCCAAAATTTGGTTTGAAGAGAGGAAGCTTGTCCAAACCTTGGTGTCCCCTATGCGGCTTGCCAAAGTGACCAGTTTCTGATGGACCATGTGCTGGGACACTTCAACAGTGGACTGGGCAGAACCAATGCAGCAGGTTGCCTGGAAGGCCTGGAAAGGGCGGTTTTTAGGCCGCTTTACCCAACCTAGAAGGGCCTCCAACGTAGAAGAGTGGCTTTTGGGATGCTTGGTGATTTGTGGTGAGGTGATACCGGTTGCTGGTGATTCGTAGAGACTTTCTAGTGATTTGTCGTGCGCTGGGTGATTTGTAGTGACTTGTCTCGATTTGAGGTGCACATGTGGTGATTTGCGCAGGGAATCTCGTCAGGACATGTTGAAGAGCAATGGGCTCAAGTTTCGAACCGAGAGCCTTGGCAAAGCGAGTGTAGCAAAGCAGGGCACAAAGCAAGACGCGCAGACTCACAACGCCGTTGCTTGTCTCAGGAAGTATTTCAATCCGAAGCAACCATCTTCCCCTATGTTAATCATCTCCATAAGCTGCGATTGATTTTTGGCAGCAAGATGTCTTGCTCAGACTCCTATACCTTGAAGCCATGCTCAAAGAAAGTATGGCAAGGCAGAGTTGGGAGGTGCAAGACCTTGCCCAAGGCACAGGCGTTCGTTACCACGAGTCTTGACGTGAAAGAAACGAAAAAGAAAGGGTCTTACTCCTAGTTGACGTTGTTTGCTTGGCTAATGCAAAATGACCTTTGCAAGCCGCAGCCTTTCAGAGTGGACCGGTCCAGTTTTTGATGTTTATTTGCATCTTCCTGGAGGGGGCGCCGGGCACGACAGATGCCCTACATGCAGCTGTTTAGGCTTTTAGGCTGAATAGACTCCGGAAATCCTACATGCAACCATAGGACAGATTCTAGATTCTCTAGATGCCCTTGTGCATGCTGTGCGTTGTGGAGCAATAGAAGAACATCCTACACGCAGCGATGTGCAACCGAAAAGGACGCTACTAGTAACAAAGGGCATCGCTACTAGGACTAGGAACAAGGACGCTACTAGGGGCTCCTGGCATCGCTGCTAAATATCATTAGAACCCGTACAAATTCTCATTGACACTCTACTTTCAATGGACTCTACCATGCACTCGAGCTGGCATTTTGCGTTCCTCAAGATGACGGTGTTCCACGTTCTCCAGAATGACTGACTGTGGAACCGGCCTGTTTTCCCAAATTTGAGAGCCAGACACCAATAAGAACTGGATGGGAAAGTGAACATATTGAGGCCATGGCTTGTCAGAAGATGAAGCCAAAATGCTGCTGGAGTTGGAACTATTGGCTGGGGACTCCAAGGTTGGTGCACCAGACTTCCGTCCAGTTTCCAAAACTTTGGGCCAAGCTGAAGCATGCCGAGGCTGTCAGTGCGACACCTCCAAGAGGAGATGAGGTCCAGACAGCGGAAAAGTCAACTTGAGTGTTCGAAAGCTTTCAATGTGCTGGATGCTCTCTCTTTGCAAAGTCAACCATTTTGTAAAAGCTTGTGAGTTTGACTTTGCAAGGCGCCGCACCGACCTTCCCCTAAGTCCTCCAAAGCACGATGCGGAGGCCAATCACAAACACGAGGCAGAGGAAAGCACGTACACGCTATCCCTTTGGAGCAGCGACCTGGAAATCGCCAGTGTAATGGCTGGACCATTCAAGCACAGACAAGCACTGCAGGCTTGCATGTGTGATTGTGGCACTTTTGTTCTAGGCAACCTGGGCCTCAGAATGCGGGCAGTTAAGGAGGAAGAGGAGGAGGAGGAGAGCAGCAGGTTAATGTCGCCTCACTGATGACTGGGTGCTGTGTGCTGTGCTGTACTACTTTAGCAAGCCTGAACATGTCTTAGAGGGATTTCTTTGACTGGCACTTTGCCAGCTAAATGAGGACAAGCGCGAGTACTGCCATGGAGAACAGAATTGAAGCTTCACAATTCACAATTTTCTATGCAGTGCTTGTGTTTGCAGACTGCCTTAGGTTTTCCGGGCCTTGTTCAGATTGCTGTATGCTGTTGAGTGTCTCAAGAACTTGCGGAAGAAGCACCCTACTGATCTCAGAGTAGTCATACTGTCTAGGGCTCTTGAGGGTGTCTTATGTAGACTTGCTGGCTGGTTGGATTTTGCGTAACCAAACTGATGATTGCTCTGCTCTTGCCAGTAGGAGAGAGCTGTGAGTGGGCACTGGCCTGAGCAGCTCTTCCGATCAGCAGCTCCCCACAACATGTGTGCTTCCATGTGCATCCATTTCTTTGGCAGTGAGGGGCTTCAACATTGAAATGGAATATGATGCAGATTGGACAGAAGAGGCGGAAGGTGGGACCCCTCTTCTTCTTTCTAACAAGTCTCAGTCATGCTTTGGCGGCTAAGCACCACAGGATCCTGGAGAGCCTTTGGGCCGGCCGGAGTCTGGGTGTCGAAATATTGAATCGAATATCGAATTGAATCCCACAGCGAAGGGCATGCAGAAGAATGCAAAAGATACCAGACAAGTTTGTGAGATGAGCTACAGGCCTGCCGCAGTTTGCCTGTGTTTTGTGGCAGCGACGTCAGTACAGCACCATCAAGTGGTACCTGGGCAGGATTTGTTAGCTGTTGGGGTGTCATGTTTGAAGACCTGTGGCGAAGGCGGCGCTTTGTTTGAAGATTCACAAGCCAACCGCTTAGAACAAAGTCCTGTCCATATCATTGCTAGTAATCGTTAGTTAAATCAAAATGTATATATATATATGGATTTCACAGATTGTCTCAGGACAACCTGTTGGACCTGCACGCTTGGGAAGACAATGAGCCCCAGGAAATTTTTCCGTTCTGGCATTGCCACAGAAAGGGAGGCGCTGCGTATCTCTTGTTACTAGTAGCTACTTGCTCCTAGTAGTACGGCCAGGAGCCCCTAGCATTGGTTCGAGAATGCCCTGGAGACGCCATGGGCGCTGATATTTGGACAAAGGGTGCCAAGGACCAAGGCGGCCAAAGATTCTAGTCTTTGTCTTTGTCACCGTAAGCAAGCCACAAGCCAAAGCAACTCTTTTTGCTTTGCTTTCTAAGGAGTTAGGTCTTGAGAATTCTTAAGATCCGTTGGTCCAGAATCCATGAGATGTTTTCGGCCAGATCCTTATAGACTTAGACGCTTTGACCTAGTGCGTCGCGATTCGAGGGCTTGCAACTGGAATTGGCTGGCTGACGGTCATTAGCCAAAACCTTGTGTCCCAACGCCGATTATCACTGGCATACCCTATGATAATAAGATTGCACATTTTGCGTGCGGATGCCCTGTCAAGATCTTCAGAGCCGCAACAGAGAAGCAACACTATCAAACTAAACTGTATGATCTGTACGTATAGACATATATACTACCGACCGGTGACTTAGGACTTGTGTGGGCCAGTGACATAGTAGTTGTGGCCCACTACTCCTAAGTCATTGGGAACACACAAATTGCAGAGTTGCTGATTCAAGCCTCATGACTTGGGAATTGTCGCCAGCTGACGATCAAGCATTTTGTATCATTTTGCATTTTTTCAGGGAGGGAGGGGAATTGATGCACACAGAACAAATGACATAAGAACCGGCCTGCTCATCATGTTTCATCATGCCTCCTGGTACTTACAACTCCTATCTCACGTCATTTATTCATCTTTTCCGGCAGCTTTCTGTGTTTTTTTAAAGCTATTCTTGTGTGACCATGTTTTGATGTGTTTCTCTACTTTAAAGTCCATGACATAGGAGTTGTGCACATTGCTCAAAAATGCTTTAAGACCCATGACAAAGGAGTTGTAAAACCCACCATACGTTTTATAACTCCTTTGTCACTAGTCGAGTCGAGAGTATAACTATATATATATGTTCACATATATCTAAATAAATAAGTAATATATATATATATATTAGTTTTGGACGGACTTGTACGTTGCATGCAGGTCGGCGAGCAACAGCGAGACGAGGACACTGCTGTTTGAGCTTGTAACTGAGTGCAGGATAGGGCGCCCAGAAACAGCAGTAGCTTCTGGTTGTGACACATTTGAAGTTGAAGGTGTTTGATCATTTGGCGTTTTTGCACATGCATGCATTCCCCTTCTGGTGTCAAGGTGGGCTTCAGAATCCGAAGCCCTGTGAGTAGAAATTCGTGAGCTTCGCTTGGCGGCGTGGTGTGTCATTGTTTGACTCATTCATGTGATTCTAAAATTTTAGCCTGAGAACCCATTTGACATGCACGAAGGTCATGTGGAGAAGCTTATACCACGAAATAACCCTTTCAACGGAATGACTTCTGAACATAACTGAGGCGCTGTGAGGCATAGATCGCTCAGGGGGCCCTCAAGCAAAACAGAAACCACCGCCGTGCTGTGCCGACTGAAGCCATGTCGGAGAAGGCTGCTTTGACCCGGCTTCGGCGGGAGTACTCGATCATCCAGCAATCTCCGAAAACGCCACACATTGTTGCCAGACCTGAGGAGCAGAACATGCTGGTATGGCACTTTGTTTTGCACGACCTGCCACCGGAGACTCCTTACTGTGGAGGGATCTATGAAGGCAAACTGGTTTTCCCTCAAGAGTACCCCTTGAAACCTCCCGCCATCATGATGATCACTCCATCTGGACGGTTTGAGGTGAACACCAGATTGTGCCTGAGCATGTCAGACTTCCATCCGGAAAGCTGGAACCCATCTTGGCGCATTGAGTCCATTCTGGTGGGCCTGGTGTCCTTCATGCTTGATCCCAGTGAGCCTCGAACACTGGGTGGACTACACACATCCGAAGCAAAGAGGCGAGAATTGGCCTCAGCCTCGTTTGCCTTCAACGTTGCACGCCCAGAGTTCCGAAAGCTCTTCCCTGAGTTCTGTGAGAAAGTCGAGAAAGTTGCCACAAATGATGTCGCTTGGCAAGTGCAACTTCAGCAAACTTTGTAAGTGAGAACGTTGAGGATGTCAATGTCAATGGCAATGGGTGTGCGTAGTATTTTACGTATTTTAACTATAATGCGAACATGTTGGTACAATTCCACTCTCAAGGATTTTACGACAAAGGCAAGTTACTTAAGTTTGATGTTGCAGACTGACAATGTCCAGATTCTCCAAGGTACCGGCACCAGAACCAGTGATTGTTGAGCCTCCGAAGACCTCGAGCTCCAGCCTGTCCAAAGCACTGCTGACATTTGCCATTGTTGTCCTGATCGTCTCCTATTTCGGATCGCGGCTGTGAGCGCGAGTTGAGTCTTGGGTGTGCGTGTATGTCAAAGCAGGCTTTGCAGAGTCGGCAGTGTCGACCTAGGTGCACTATGTGCAGCTGGGTTTGTCACAAACATGTTCAAGTCGTTGAAGAAAAAAGGTGGAGGCCATCGCTACTTGTACTAGAGTGCAGGCCATCGCTACTAGAAACAAAGAACATAAATGACATGAAGAAAGTGTGACCTGCGATGCGCCAGTTTTTGTCTAAAGGGTTTGGACAAGACAATTGGACGGAGGGGGAGAGGGAGGGAGACAGAGAGGGAGAGAAACGGAGAGAAAAAGAGCAACTATGTATATACTGTACATATAAAGGGGTATTTTACATATTTGTATATATTATTTGTTAGATCGTGATTTGTGTTCTTGGAGGCGAAGGTGTTGAGTCGGATGGGGAGGTGTTGCGAAGAGTCTTTTCAGTCTCTTGTGCTGTCGAAAGGACCCATGGCTCAGGACCAGTGCAGAAGCGGTGGACCACTGCAGTGTAGGTATGTAGGGCCAGTGCCGATTCTGAATGAGTTCGTCTGGTACGCCTGCCTCGTTGCAGGACAAACATGCGAAAGGTGACTCAGGCATAGCCAGCCGAATGGTGATGGTTTTTTCGTGTCCCTGTGAAAGCCAAGGTCACCATGCTTCATCAGTCGGTGCTGCCCGAGGCAGCCCGGAAATGTATATATATATAGTTTATCAAGCACCACAGCACGAATGTGATTACAGGAGCCCACGCTTCTACTTCACAAGCAACAGCGCAACCAAAGATCCGCATCCTGGTGCTGCTCCCACACTTAGCTTTGAGCAATTCGATCAAGCGTTAGTGCTGCAGAGTTTCGGTTTTGACAGGTAAGACCAGCAGCCGAAGTCACAGAATTGGAGCACGAGGTGCACATGCAGCACACAACTCAGCGGCTCAGCTTACAAGTCTTCAGCGCTGGTTCCTGATTGCTGTGCTTGGTCTTTAGCCTATTTTAGCCTCTAGGAAAGAAGCACCAGAGGATCCGTGGTGTACAGGCCACAAGCATCAAGAAATGCTTTCTTGCTAAAGGGCTTTGCTTGAAAAGAAACAGGCTTTTGGAACCAGCCGATTGCTCTCTCTTGAGTTATCAACAAGAAGTTGTTCGGATGCTGCCAGGCCCCGATCCTTGGTCAATGGGCCGCGAGCGGGGCGCACAAGGCCCAATCGTCTCCATTGGAGGTATCAATTGAGAGAGCAAACATGTAAAGAAACTCTGGCGCTACGCTCAACGGAAATGGATTATAAATACACAATATATATATATACACATGATTACATATACTAATACTTTTCAGGAGAATGCAGCATGCATCAAACAAGGCATTACATATTCCTGTTCCTAGTGGGACGGTGTAGTGAGGTTATGAGATGTTATGAGGTTCACTCACCAAGGCAGAGCATTTTTGCATAGTGTAATTGTAATGCAGTAACATCTCCCAGCTTTGGCTTGCCTAGAATCGCTCAGGCCGAGGTGGACAAGGCGCGACATGATACCGCATCACAAATCTCATGGCCCCCTGAGAGATGGTTGCCGTGAGGCAGAAACCGCCGATGCCACGCGGGATAGCTTTTGCAGAAAACAGCAATGTGAGGTGGACCGGGGGGTCGTGCTTTTTGCATTTTGTGTAGTTGTTGTGCTTTGTGTTTTGGCATGCTTTACCAGTACGTTGAAATCGATTGCGATTGACCTGGGCACTTTGCATCCAACCCGCCTTGTCTAGCTCAGTCTTGCGGCTTTAGCAATGGTTTGGCCTTGCGACCCCGACACAGTCTCACATGGCATGGCGTGGCTTTGATCCGAGAACTCGGATGGATGTCTGGGCGTCGCTTGGACAAATGCATCGCTAGTAATTAACATCGGGCATTACAACCAGCAAGAAGCTACTAGTAACAAGTGCATCGCTACTAGTAGCTTCTAGTAGCGACTAGCTACTAGTAGCAATGCCCTGTAAGTGACTGCCACTGCCACGGTTTTTTTGCCTTTTCCACTAGTTCCCTGTGCAGGCAAGAGGCTGAGCATTCAGGTCGCCGGAAGCCCAGCTGTGTTACTGGACATGTTGCTTCCTTCAGGTGTGTCCCTTTTTCCAGATGTCAATGATTCCTGATGATTCACATGTTGTATCATGCAACGACTGCAAGCTTCAGCGTTGGATGCTTCAGGTTCCGTCTCCCTCTCAAGAGGACGCTGAGGAGGAGCCCGAGACCTCGCCAAGGAAACGGGCGGTGGGTCTGAAAGTGAACTCCAGCCAGGGCCTCACCGTGCTTCACAGTCGACCGTCACCGCACCTCACAGTGGACTTGAATTGACTTATATATATACACACCCTGCTCACTGGGTTGTGTATAGATTTCCTGTGGCAGGTCCTAACCCTTCCCTACTTCAGCCCATACTGCCCCAGATTGAGGTGAACGCTCACCAGAGAAAAGCCCACGTTCAATCAAGGCTGCAACTTGGCATCCACGAATTCACGGTATTCAATGGTATTTATTTAATTCCCAAGGTGCAGACTCAGTTTTGTTTCAAGTGAGGTGAGCATAAGTAGCTAGTAGATGCTAGTAAGTAAGAGGGGCTAAGACTAGCAGGCCGCTACTAGGTACCAGGACGCTCTCTCTCTCTCTCTCTTGTAGCTTTTCTCGGCGGGGGGAGCTTCCTTCGAGGACCCTTCGCACCGACCTCGCTCCCAGTTTCTTTGTTCCTAGTAGCGATGCCAGAGCCCCTAGTAGCGATGCCCTGTGTTACTAGTAGCTTCTTGCTCCTAGTAGTAAGGCCAAGAGCCCCTAGTAGTGCCTTGCTCCTAGTAGCGATGCCCTTTGTTCCTAGCACCCCTCCCAAGGCTGATACAAAGAACGATATCAGCACTCTGATCTCTCGGAAGTCCTTCGCCAATGTACAGTTTCACAGGTGCAGATAGAGTCACACGAGTAGTCACGCGCTTTTGAGTGACAGTGCACACCTTTTACAGCCTGTTTGTTACCAATGCTCTTGGCATATATGTGCCCAACACAGACGCGTCGAAGAGTCTCGCTTGCAAAGTCTCGCAGGTATTCAGTGTTTGCCTCCCTATTTGATTTGAGGGCAGCTGTTCCTGCGGATGAGGTCTGGCACACAAGACAGGCGATTCAGAAGGGAGAATTATGATTGCCATTGCTCAGGTGGGGAAACTTCTGGATCGTCATTCTTATATGGCACCGAATGTGGCTCTTGACGAAGATGCCTCCTGGAAACTTAGATGGACATCTCAAGAAGGCAACACTTGGACACTGTGTTGATCTGTGGTGCACTCCCTTGATGATCTATGTTTGCCTAGCTTCCTTGCGGGTCACTGTGTGACTCAGGAGACAGCGCATTCGTTACAGACTAGATGCTTGGCTGGGTTTCAAATGGACACGCATTGCATCATTGCATCCCCGTCCTGCAAAATTGCTGCCAAGGTATGCAGCGTCCAGATGTGTGCCCGACAGGAAGTTCGCATGCATCCCCTTTGCTTTTTGAGCTCCGTGCCTACTTGCAGCCTGTGAGATTTTACTGTAGTAGAGAAGTTGAAGCCGATGTGACGATGCTAGTGTATACTCAAGCTCACTCCATCTCACTCCAAGGTTTGCTCATCGGTCCCTTTATGCTGTCATTCGAGTCTACCTGCTCTGACATGGAGCGGCCGTTTATGTTTGCCACCAAAATCGTCCATTTGGAGTCTTGGCCAGAAAATTTGTGATCAGATTAGTGCGGCTGCGCAGTAGGGGCTAGAAACGGAGGTAGAAGTGCTGCACTGTAATGCAGAAGGTTCGGCACAGATGTACTTGTTCAAGTTCTGCTACAGCTCCCGCAGGTGTCAACTGTGCTCTACCTCTTCTTTGCTGTATCGCATTTCATGTACTCTCCCTTGAACCCATGGCCAGAGATCTTGAAGCAGAGGAGAAAGAGGCCATAACATGAGTCACATATCAACCTTGAACAACTCAACCACTCATCCCTGAGTAGCTTGAGATGTGCAGGTTCAAGCTCCTGAGCCACAAGGCTGAGACCTTGCACCCAGCTTTGGTGCAGCAATTTGCCTGCGGTTGGTCAGAACCTGCATATTTTTCTGTGCCGAGTTTAAAGAGTTCCCGTACATTGATCGCCAAGGCAGCTTCATGCAAGAACAGGACCCGAAGAAGAAGAAATGAACAAGACGGAATGGCAGAACCCGCTGACCTCTCTGCGATTTTGGGTTCCGATTTTTGATGCAGTTGTGTCCCTTGGCTGACTATATAGACGGGACATCTGGCATTTGCTGACGAATCTGATGAATGAATGTGGATCTCTAGCAGAGTCTGCTTGACGGGTTGCCGATGAGAATCCACAGTGTCGCAACGGGAAACTCATAGGTTGGTGCTGAGCTTCCTCCCAAGCCAAATCACAACTGCTAACTGTTAACTGATCAGTGACCTCATGACAACACGATTCTTTAACTCGCCACTTCGCTCACCTAAATTTTATAATGAAGAAGGCGCCATCCACAATCCACCTATATAATCGTCCCACCACAACTCATCTTAGATTCCAGTAACCCGAGACACAGACATGCCACAAATCACTATAATACTATAGCTGCGGGCTGCCACCCCCCCACATTGCACAACGTTTGATGGAGATTGCTGGCACGCCTGATGAAAGACGATGAAGGAAAGGAAGATCTGTGAACATGCAGCATGCATGACAACATGCGATCCTGGAAGAATTCAGTGGGCTTATATACTTAGTGTGCTACCTTCTCTAGTCTCTTTGCCAGTTTGTTTCGCATGCTTTGGCTGAGAGTGGCCATGGGGATTGGACATCGGGCTTCGATTGCGAACTGGGCATGATTCCTGAGTGTGGCGACGGGTGCGCTGACGGCGCTCTTGCCGTAAGTGTTGCTCGCAAATTCCACATAGCACTCCTTATTGCTCATTGCAATAGTGTTGGATGCTTCGGTTGTCAAAGCAGGCAGACACAGCCCGATTCAGCGGAAAGACACTGTCACTGTCCTCCTGAGATCTTCTGAGGCTTTTGGGCTTGATCGCTGAAGTCTTCAATTTGACCAAGGAGCCATCCAGGAGAGGTGCTGAACTTGACCCCGTCAGAGTTAGAGTGTTGCAAAGTTGAGTGGTGGCGCATCATTGCAGGTTGATGCATCGTGTGAGGTGACACTTGCAGAACACCGCATTGGCAACTGCTTAAGTCATAGGGGGCTCGACAAATCTGCACTTCATGTCCCTGGAAGGATCAATAGCTGGTCTCACTGGGTTGCAACCTTACACATTGACAAAGCATGGCAAAACTAGCTTTGATGAACTTGTTTCCTTATTTTTGACATTTGTCAACGCTTTGAAGAGTTTTTGGTCTCGAGGCGTGGCTTTTGGTGTCTGCGAGAGGCTTTCGGCTCTTGGTGCCCCCATCAGAGACCGTGGTGTCCAACTTCTGGATGGACGCTGTGGCGGCAGACTCCGTTCATTTAGTTTGGTCCGAAGGGAGCAAGCCAACAAAACTTCGAAACAGAATCATGCGTGGCCAAACTTAAAGAGGACCATGCTGCACCATGCGCCTCAGGACACCCTTGTCCTGGGAATGTGGTTATTTGCACCTTGTCGAGAGCATTCTGAAACTTTGGATGCTGAAAATATACAGCTTAGCAATTCTTAACACACATAATACATCCACTCCACTCCACTCCACTCCATTCCATTCCATTCCATTCGTGTCCACCCCTTCACAGAAATTCTGGGCACTGACGCGGCACGAGCCCTCGGACTGTATGCGTGTGGGGAAGGAGTGGTTGCGCACGGGAGTTTTGGATTCCATGACTGTCCAGAATTAGGCCCAGGTAGGCCCCCCCACCTCAAATCAATAAAACGACATAAAAGGACAATTTTGAAGGTGGTACCTCTAACAGACTGGTGGTTTGGTATCTCATATTTTAATTACACAACTTAATGGACACGCATTGGATGTTGCAGCAGCGTGCAATCAACATAGCACGTATTTTTGCCGCAATCCAACTGCGGCGTAGCGACCCGCACCAGCCCAGGTAGTGATTCATCTTTGCTCATGCTTTTTGAGCTTGGTGTCCGTATTCCATGTGCAGAAGGGGAACACCCAAGCCTGGGCTGCTGAGGAGCTTTTGCAGTCAGGCGACCATTTGTGTGACACTATGTGATCGAGAAAAACGAGGTTGCAATTTGTAGAAACTCGGGCGGTCCATCGTCAAA